CTCTCCGCTAGCCATCACATGTTGCTCAGTAACGTGTGCCAGCATTTTGTACATATTTTGTTTAGATTCGTATCTGTATCTTATTTCAACATTCTCTACGATTCGTTTTGATTCTCGCCAACACTTCATTATTTATTATCATTCTATAAGTTAACATTAATGAGAGATTTAATAATGAATAAAATTATTAGTATACACCATACAGTATGTTATAGTATTTTATTTTTATTTCTTATAGTTTTGTTTTCTAAAACTATACACAATGAGAATTTCGGGAATATTTAAAAGTTATCAATTTTTATTGTTCGTAAACATAATGGTATGATTGGAAGAAGTTTTTCCGAAAGTAATTCCTGGAACTTTCTTAATTCAATTGAAATATCTTTAGTTAAGAAATTTAAACATAAAAAAAATGTGATTTTGGTGTCAATTTCACCTATTTTGTTTCAATCGACGATTTTTTTTGTATATTTTGTAAGTCAGGTATTCGTTTTCCTTTATGAAAGTTTAGTTTTACAAAGAGGAACTATTTCAAGATCCTTCGATCCTTCTAAGATGATTAGAACAGCGTATTGTAGGAGGTAAGTTTTTAAGAATTACAAGCACCTCTTCTGTATAATTATATTTTGATATGTTAGTTCTATTTTATTATCTACCTTTTTTAACTTTACTTAAATTATGTTCTTATTATTTTGATAACATTCAGATTATTATGATTAAGATAACTGATAGAATTAAAAGTCCAATAATACTTCATTTATCACAACTTCTTTATCAATCATCTTTAACTAAGCGAGTCTAAATCATTTAGTATCTTAACTTTCTCCACATAACTAACTCATGTGAGAGGTAAAAGTTACTGGTCATACTTCCTTTCTGTTTCCATACTCATGACCCGACTTTAGCGTCTATCTAATGCTGTTATGAGTTAATATTAATTCTATCTACAGAAAGTAGATGTTTTGATATCCGACTATTGTAATAATACTCCACCCGGACTTCCATTATCTTTGAATGTAAAATAACTTTTTTAAACAGCCTTAAAGGTTTCTCGTATGTATCTGAACTGTAACATGTATAGAGCGTGGTTGTAAAATAAAGGATATTGACAGATAGAAAAGATCTATATGCATAAGTCGGCGGCTCACAGCAACCAATAGCATAGTATTTATATTTTTGGTCGTATAGAGATCACCACCTTTTAGTTATATGACTCACTTCAAGTTTTTCGATTAAGTTTAAGTAGAAACGGTTTGAAATTGAGAGTAAAGTAAATAATTAATTCAAAGTAAGTGATGAATATTATTTATTTATTTAAAGTAGGTAAATAATTAAATCTAAATAAATTAAACTAATATTGTTTTTCTTATTACTCGTAATAATCCGAAAAACAATATTAGTTTAATGTCTAAGCGCACGGTAGTCGACCCACTTTTGACCCCCTGTAGCTCAGTGCCTATTGTAAGTACAGAGATAAAATTGTACTTACGTAATCATATACTAGTACTAAAGCAGTATGCCAAATTTCATAGATAAAGCTTCAGTAGATCCTGAAATATGACCCTGTGAAAATAGCTAATTTTGGCACTGACTCACTGACAGGTAATCAAAACCTTTATATAGGCGCTCAGCTCAGCACAATAAAATACATAATAATGAAATATTAATAATTAATAATATGAGTACATCTATCAATCGGTGATAAATGAAACTAAAAAATAAATATAGTTTAAAAAAAAACTAAAAAACACGCTCCAATGATGAAAGAAACCGCGTGGAAACTGATTTTGAAAGTATTATAATTTTAGATATTTTTAACCAAGCACCTACGTATTTTCACAACTATACCATATTTTAAGTTGGGTGTATGGTAAAGTGAATTTCGGCCAGATGGACCGTTGACGTGAATAAGGTGGCGGGTAGTGGCTGGATGTGGAAGGCAGAGGACTGGGTGTGGTGGCGAGTCTTGGGAATGGCAAATGTTTACCAGTGGATCATTCTGTTGATTAAGATGATTATGATCGATTTCAAAGTGCATCTGAACTTGGCATTAGATTGGTTTTCAACCCTTTTTTAGGCAAACAATTAGCCGATTGGAACTTGGCCCCCTTTTTTAACAGGCATGTTTTTGGTGAGATGTATTTTTACAATAAAATACAAACTACATACATACTCCCGACATTTCGTTTACTTTGCAGCCAACGTGATCACAAAATCATGAAATTATAACAATAATGATGTATATTAATTTATATAAAGTTATTTTTTCTAAAAGAGAATACTCATGAATAAATTACTAGTTTATGACTACTTATAATATTTTCGTCTGCCACATCAACTGCGACAGTTCCTCATACACTAAAAAGTTTTTTTTTCTAGTGATCAAGTAAATGCTAACACGCTGACGTATAGTCATATATTCCTCTTCAAAAAAAAAAAACAAGGAATTCAAATAAATGTATCTTAAAAAAATTACTAATTACTTGTGTACGTAGCTTTACACGTGCTGTGCGAGCCTTATGATCGTCAACAGGCCGCGGCCCTATCAGCGCCGTCCTACTAAACTTTGTTCGCGACACCGACGACAAGAAGCGGGACCTCAGATTTATTTGAGGTCAATGTTAATGAGCTTGAAGGTAACATGACCGTCGAACACTTATTTAGCAAACATCGATCAGGAGGCACCAATTTAGTAATAGTTTTAGTTCATAATTTTAACTATAGATCTAATCTCAGAGTTACGTACGACCTATGTTAGTCTGCCTTAATTGATTTCAGTTTAAAGAACTTTTATTCTCATTATGACAACGTCATTTACATGAGAACTTATAACTAACTTATAAATATAACAAATCGTTCGGATCAGCAAAACAGATGAGATAACACTTTCAATTAATTATTTTAACGGAGAATCGTTACATAGAATATGGTTATAAAGTCGAGATTTAAACAGAAAAATTTGTTAGAGATTTTACTTGTTTGGGTAAATTGTTATAAAGTTATTTAATGATAGAAAGTATTTAGGTTTGGAGAGCAGTAATCTCTGTGAATCTGGAACGCTCTAGAAGGCCACTGATTAGAACTAGAAAAAAGCCGATTGCAATCGTAGGAGCTGGCGTCGCGGCGGCGATAGTACCCGGTTGATTTTAGGTCATCATTAGGAGACACACCTGTCACATGTTGGAGGGAGTGGCAATAGAATGTGTCCCAGAAGAGGATAACCCTCTGGCGTCGTTGGTGGGATGTAGCGGACGAAGGTCATGACCGGGCCCCACCTGTCACCTACATTGGAGGGTGGATGAGATGGTCCTTGGGAAGTGCTTCAAGTTTGTGAATTTATTGTATATATAAGTATGGTAAAAGATTTGCCACCGTGAGTTTATAGTGAGGATGACCGCTGTGATCTGTCCGGGCTCCCAACCGGTTGATTACTTCCATCCATTTCCTTCTGTACAAAGAACAAATAGATTTCGTTAAAATATATTACAGACCACTCGTGGAGGTATAATGAAGGTCATATCATATATGTATATGTATATATATATATATCTATTTTAATGGGTATCACGGTCTTAGCTGAAAGTTATCTTATCTGAGGTCAAACGAACGATACACGGCTAATGTTTGTTTTTAAATATTTTAATAACACGCAATTTATTATAACTTGTGTTAGAATATGACGAGGGGCCGAAATAAGACCCGCGAGAATCAAAGTTCGTCATTGACATATTAACAATTCTCAAATATACTTTAAAATTATTATCTTTCAAAAGATTCTTATCTTGTGATTTTATTAATACAGTGTTTATCTTTACGGATAAAGAGGGCAATACTGCATAAAATATTAAACAGTAATAATACCATTACTTTTATAACTGGTAGAGCCTAGCTGTGGTCAAGTAGGTACAGCTCGAACATGGGCTTGTTTAATTGGGGAAGTTCACCCTCTCATAGAAGATGAGTGAGAGAGCCGGTTTTTCCAGAGATGTAATTGAGACGTCCATTATCAGAGATCGTTGTTTCCGTCCGGGCATCAGAAGAACAAAGTAGAGAAACTCTCAATATTTTACGGCATACACTTTTAGACTATGCGCAGGAATTTCACGATTTAATTTCTTGATCTCTTTTGTAAAAACCGGATCACCCGACGCTGGGAGTGGGTTACAGTAAGGATTATCCTCAAGGCTACAACTCATAGGCTAACTACGGTTTACAGATAGTGAGTTTACTTCATTGTCATTTATAATGTATTAAATCATCTTAGGATGTAAAGTTTAATATGATAACAAAATATGATGATTGTTGTATGAGGAATATATTTCATAAAACTTTACAACATTTAACGCCACATATTTGAATAAAATTAACGAAGATTCTTTAAATTAAAAAATTCTAACAAATAAATAAAAAATAAAAAGACCATTCATAAGGAATTTAAATATATGTTTATTAACCAGTAGGCACTTATTATAGACCTCTTACGAATTTTAAACATTAAACATTATCGCCCTTACAGCATTATTCATAAAATTGAATATTATTCTTGAACAGATTTGAAAAACTAGCAATTTAAAACACTTCTAATTATTTAAAAATTTTGTAAAACATTATATAAAACTAGTTCTTGCTCGTAATTTTGTCACCAAGTACATAGGAGACGCTCTTAGATAGAGATATATATACACTTTATATATATATATATATATATATATATATATATATATATATATATATATATATATATATATATATATATATATATATATATATGTATAAAGTGTCTTTAAGCCATACACATGGTCGTCTGTCCGCTACACCTACACCAGGTCACTAGTGTTAGATGACAACACACACAGTAACACTGTTACTACAATAATAATAAACGTTAGATATTGGGATGAGATTGGCTTCTTCGATCATCAAAAAAACAGGTCACTTTTTAGCTACCCACACATATTTACATAAATTGGTTTCTGGTGATATCATCATTTCCTTTCAAAATGAGAGGAGAGGTAAGTTTTGAAAATTCATGAACTCGAATTTTGATATTGCTTCTACAGTTACACATCCAGATAATAATATGTAGAAGGATGTCAAGTTTTTTCGTAACTATGATATCTCATCTGACACCTCTCCTGGTAACAGCGGCTACTCCTCCCCGTGCTGTAAACACCCGCTAGGCAGGAGAGTTTCTAGAGAGCGGCTCATAGATCCTGATAAAGTAAGAACACAAAATAGTCCTTCTTTCGTTGGAGTACCGAAGGTCTTCACAGGTGCCCGCCACTATCCTCCCTTCAACGATGTCCTAAGATGAGAGTAAGATTTCACAGAGACAGGTCAGATTAGATCTCAATCAATACAAATGAAATGAATAAAATTCATCTGTCCGTTTATATCGTCAACTTAAAAGATTTTCAATAAACGCTTATCAAAGTAAATACATGACTAAATATCAAAATCGCAATTTTTAAAAATATTGTTTAGCTGTACGGCTGTCGGTTTGTTCAGAAAAGAGTTCATTAGAAAACTGTGTAGGTTTTTAATTCATTGCCATTAATATAGAATGTACATACAACTTAAAATAATAAATAAAGTAGGCGTGTACTAATATTATAACTGGCTGTGTTCATTGATTATTATTTAATACATATGTCAGATAAGATGTTTTAAACTTTTTAAAGAACAGCATATATAGCTTTTAACAATAATTATTTTCTAAAACTAAATATCTTGTAAATTAATTTGTCTTTGCACACACAAAAGTTGATATAATAAAAATAAAAAAAACTTGGTCGACTCCTAGGTTACTTGCAATTTCAAACGGCAGAAAGCGAAGTTAATAAAATAATGAAAACGAATATTTTCAAAATACGATACATTCATATCTTTTGTGATAATGAACCAAACATTATCATTTTTTTCTTATCTTCAAAATGTTTAGTAGTTAGTTAGAGTTATTTATTCAACTGTCGTCATAGAGAATGATTAATTTGACAAGTGTTCGTAGTCGCTACAACCGGTTTGAAAATCCTCCTTCAAGGTTTTATTTTTTTTAAGTTTCTTTTAAAATATTTTTAACATTATTACATTAGTTATAATAATCTCTAATTCATCAAATGTTCGAACATATTTCCTATAACAGCTATTTAATAAGTGTGTGAGGTGTTTGTTTATTATTATCTCATAATGTTTCCCGCCGTGTTTCTGTTCTCCTCACTAGTGATTATTTTCGGATTGCTTTATTTAAAATGGAGACAAGTGAGCAGGTACTGGTACGACCGAGGTGTTTTTTATTTACCACCGAATCCCTTTCTAGGAAGTCTCAATTTTCTTCTGAGAGAAAATGCGGTGAGTTGATATTATACACGTTATAACAATATTTACTGCAGCATTTATTTTATGATAATTTGATAGAATAGTTTCAACTACATGTACTCGTACTGTGAAACGGACGGACCGAGGTCGTACTTTCTTTTGATATTTATAAAATATTTAACTTTTTCTATTTTGGTATCCATATATAGCCGTTTGTTACATTTGTACAGTATATTTTTATGTATATTTAATTTTGCAGGCTTTGTGGATTATTCGTATGTATGAACAATGTCGCAGACCATATATGGGTATATGGTTGATATGGAAACCAGCCCTTCTGGTAAATTGTCCGAACTTGGCGCGCAAGATTTTAAATCAAGATTTCGGTAACTTCAGGGACCGTCATGTAAGCTCCGGGAGCACGGACCCTGTCGGAGGTTTAAATTTATTTACCGTTAAAGTGAGTTTTTTTATTATTTGTTTTAAATTTTCAAACATACAAGATACAAGAAAAATCAGTTTTATTATAAAACTATGTATATTGAATTAACAATTAGGACTCATTAGGTCTTTAAGTCAACGATTGACCTCAGACTGAATATAGGTATGTTATAACCCATTTCCCATATCCACCTATGAGATGTCGTCTTCACTTTCCCATTCGAACCGATGGCTCACAGTCAGCATTTAATTCTTTACACAATTGTTATACTATAAACTTATTCCCCGGTTGCGCTTGCGTAACATATCTCTACCGTATATACAGAAAATTAAAACATGTAAACTGATTGTGACTTCTAAGCGTATGATATATATATTATTAATATTATCTTACATCAGTGCGTATCATAAATATGAATGTATGTACAATAGGTGTGGTTGCGTTTTATCTTATTTTATTTTTATGAAAATTTTATTGAAGAACTTCTTACATTTTTATATTCACACGTACCTATTCAAATTCTCTGGAAATTTGTGATTCTTTAACTTATAATTATTAATAATATATTTAGTTTGATGTTCTGTGTTCAATAACGAATTATTCTTTAAAAAATTAAAAAATCCCAAGCGATATATATATTAAAGATAATAATCAATGAACACAGCTAGTTATAATATTAGTACACGCGTACTTTATTTTTATTATTATAAGTTAAACATTTTATGTAAATGCCAATTATGTCGACTACAACCGGAGGTTCCAAAGAAACCAAAATTTACTTATAATTAGTTTATTCTAAAGATGACTTATCGTTACATGATTGAACGAAGAAGTGATTTTAAAACTGATTTACAATAACTCGGGAAGCCGTGGTGTTCTCTTTCTGCATTCCATTCCCATGGATTCCGCGGAATGAGGTGTCGTCTTTACTTCGTTCCATTCCCATAAGTTCCACGGTGTCAGCATTCGGTGTTTAATTTAATAATTTTATGTTCGCGTAACATGCCTCTGGGAGGTCATGTTTGTAAACAGGGAAAATAAAAAAAATACTGTAAGATGAAAATCAACTTTATTTTACAACAACAGGCTAAACTAAATATTTAAAATAAACCATCTTTTATGTTATGAGTAACTTCTGATATGCTTTAGATATAAAGTTTGTTAATGTTCTCCTCAGGATCCCGTATGGAGTAACATTCGATCAAAAATAACTGGAGTATTTACAACTGCCAAGTTGAAAAATCATCAGGATTATACACGAAGCAAAGCGAAGGAATTAGTGCAAAGAATTCAAAACGATGGAAACAAAGTATTACATCTCAAGGTATTCAAGTTTTACAATATTATACAATAAATGAAATTCGTTTTATATATTTATGTATTGGTGTCATATTGGTTGTGTTTTGATATTGATCATATAATTTTTTTTTACTTCACAGTTCATTCAATTGTATAGGAATTCGTTTCTATCTTGATATATATAACTTTGTTCATCTTTCACAAGTTACATTAAAAGAGAGAAATAAAACTCGTAAATTGACAGGATTTGTTGGTCGACTATACAACAGATGTGATCGGAACATTTGCTTTTGGTGTGGAGAGTAACGCCACGCTCACAGGCGAGGGCCCGCTCAGAGACATCACTAGAGACTTCATTAAACTGTCTGTGTACCGAGGACTATCAATGTTCTCTATATTCTTTTGGCCTGAAGTCACTGATATTTTCAGGTAATGTTTCAAGTCATACACAGTATGTTACATTTAGTTGTCTATTTCTAAATGGTAGTTATTAAAAATTGTTACGTTTCAGATCGAAGTTCTTTCCAAGATCGTCAACGAAATATTTTTGTGAAGTAGTCGACCGTATAATGACTCACCGCAAGAAAGAGAACATCAGAAGAAATGACCTCATCGATTGTTTGATCAAAATTGAGAAAGAGAGTGAAGAAAACAATGAGAGTAATGTTACTTTTAATTTTAACTAAAAAGGTGTTCGTGTGAATGTTCTAGACAATATAAAGTGTGTGTTTATTATTTTAGAACTTCCGAATGGTTTGATAGTGGCTCAGGCAGCCATCCTCCTTCTTGGCGGGTTTGATACGTCAGCTATGACCCTTACATATGCTATTTATGAAATCGCCCACGCTCCCGATATACAGGTCAATGAACGCTTACATAATATTTTAATGTATTTGAATAAAAATATAAACAAGTTTTCATATTCTATATTTTAGGAAAAGTTATATCGAGAACTTTTAGAAGCAAAGAAACGTTACGGCGGTGAAGACTTTGACATGCAAACACTAGGAGAAATGACTTACATGAACTGTGTTATACAAGGTACAGTCAACACTGAATTATATGTGTTTGAAGTTAATACGTAGAATGTAATAAATATACATGTGTCTATGATCCAGAAACACTTCGGAAATATGCGCCCATGACTTGGTTGGACAGAATAGCACTGTCTGATTATAAGATCGACGACTCGCTGACCATCAAGGGCGGTACTCCTGTGTACATCAACATACTCGGCATGCACTACGACCCCGACTATTTCCCAGACCCATATACATTTAATCCTGATAGATTCTTACCAGAGAACAGCAGCAACATAAAACCTTATACGTTCATGCCATTCGGAGAGGGACCCAGAAGTTGTATTGGTACTTATTTTAATTACTATAACTTTTATAATATAAAACTTATAATTTTGTATCTCATTAAATAATTTTATTTGTTTAGGTAAAAGATTCGGATACATAACGATGCGTACCGTTTTGGCTGCGTTGTTCCTAAACTACGAACTATTCCCTTTACCCAACACGCCTACACCGATACAGACTAAGATTGACCCGTACAGTATGTTCTATACTCCTGGAGAAAAACTTCGTGTAGAATTTGTTCCTAGAAATAAGTAAAAATGATTTATTTAGGCTGATATAAGTTAATGTCTTCACAATTGTTTTCTTGTGAAATAACAGTTCTTTTTAATTATGTAAAGTGACAATTAATTGTTAATATTACAGCACAATTTCTTAAATATATATATTAATTGTTTTTTTTTTTTAATAATATAACAGTTGTTGTATAACTGTGAATATTATATTTTTACCTTCAGAGTTCACAAATATCTCCTCCTTTACAATATACTTTAATTTATTTCTCCACACGTCTAATATGTCTAGTACCAAACTAACAAACCAAACATCTAGTATTCTACAAGAAAGTTAATATAAAACGAAGATATATTGACAACGTTTAAAAGCGACGTTATTCTTATTATGTATTATTTCTGGTCCCCATCTTTTATATCCAATTCATTTCATAAATCACGAGTGTCATAGGTTAATTTAAAAACCATCCCTCGTGTGATTTAGTGCTCGCTAGAAAAAGTAATAGGATCGAGTCTCATTTACAGTCGACTGAGAGTCGAACTTGGAACGCGTTCATACGTTTATATATTTGATAAAACAAAACATTTTGATTAATTTATTAAACGAAACGAACAAAGACAACATTAATGTGAAAGTATTTTAGATCGACGACTTCCGAATATACTTTATTAGAAGTATAGAGTATCCTGTATGCCGTTTGTTTTGTACTTTTCCTATCACAGTAATTATTTGTGTAGTTGATTTACTTCTTGAACCCAGTGAAAGAAATACTTTTCATTATAAACAACACATGTACGAGTATGTATATCGAGAAGACTTCTTATGATTATGGCGTACATAAATAATAATATGTTGTATAGATACTATTACTCACTTCACGTGACATGTTCATTTACAACAAACGGCCGGGTCCATGTTATATGTAGTTAGGACGTGAGGTCCACAAATGTTTAAACATGTAATAATTACTTATGAGAAATAGAATAGCTTTTATAAGGTTTTCTAAGTTTTAAAATTACGTTGGTGATAATAATAGGACCTTGAAGGGTCATTTTGCTATCGGTGGGTTAGTGTATATGCGCCATAGTGTATTACACAATGAATAACGTTTAACGTATAACAACTAATTTACAGTTTATATTTATGGCCGACCTCCGTCTCTGGAACTGTAATAGTTTCTAAGCAATAAATTTAACCCTTAAGATTGGTGTCTGAGTACAGTCATATGTGTTCGTTAAAGTATAGAAAAGGTGGAATATAAATTGATGTAGTTTAATAACGATACAATCCAGTTATTCATGTGACTCCTCACACACAAGCGTTTTAAAATTTTAAAAGGACAGTAACTTTTATTAACTTTTAAACGTACCTATACCTTTTAAAAGTGATTATTTTCTACTCGTCTGTTTTCTTATATTTTCTTGTATATTATATAAAGTTCATCAGAGAAGACCAAGTTTTTGTTACTCGTAATAAACCGATACAATTACTAAAAAAAATAAATCGGTTCAACATCTCTGTTCCAAAATGTCAAGATCGCATTTTCAGCTCGTGTACTAATGTTTCTAGTATAATATATTAAAACTATTTTTTTTCAATAATACATCTTTTATCTGGCAATTTTCCCAGATTTAGCCAGGGTCTGCCTTACATGTTGTGATCGTTTTGGCTAGTTGTTTTTACGACCGGCCGCCTGCCTGCCGTCATCCCTCTTTTGGGAATGCATTAATCAGCGATGTCTAAATACTCTTCGAAAGTTCATATGACCCAGAAAAATCACATTGGTACTTGCCAAGGCCAGGATCGAACTCGCGCCCTCATGCATGAGAGGCGGACCTTTTAACCACTTGGCCACCACTGATTGTCAATAATACATGTCTGATAATAATTAAAGATATGGTTGATCAATAAATTTTATTATAAATTCTGTATCAGTTTTACTAATGGTCGGTTTTTCCGTTATGTTATTCTTGTTAAAAATATATTTAAGATGTCTACCGTCAGCAATAGAAAACAAAAATCTGCATTTAAATGTAATTGTATTATATTTGGAAGTTTTCAATGCAGCACAGAATGAAGTCAACATATTAAACTTAGCCTACAGAATAAAGACGTGTTCAAGTTTATTCGAGTGAGTCCACACTGACTGTGCTTTAATAATATATATCTGATTACAATTGAGTTAAAAAGTCTAAAGTTTTACATTGCGTGATATCATAAACAAACAGAATGTTTTTTATATGTTAAAAGACTCATTGACATAGATGAAAATAAAACATTACACTATCAAATCACGACACTAACATACAACACTATCAATTGTAGAACTCGCTATGAATCATATTAAATAAACTGTTTTGCACTCCGAATGAATTTTGTTTTCTTTTATATTTAAGAAATTAACTGGTCGAAAGTAAGAGAAGATGTTTACTTAATTATTTAAAAGTCATATTTTCATGATAAAGTATCTTCAACGTGCGAGTTCAATTTATTGTAAACAAAGATTAATATAAACCCAGGTCAAGTTCGATTTTGGTAGATTTTTCTATGTTAGAAAATATGCATTACCTATTACCGACCGTTGTTCACCAGAATAGTTGAGTAGCGCTCCCGCAACAACGCGAGTTAGCTGCGAATGTCTGTTGATTTATCCACGAAAATTACACATTATGGGGTTACTCCGTCTGCAAGGAACTCCAGAGAAACGCGGACCCTCTCATAAAGTCAGTCGTAATAAGTGGAAGGACTTGTGGCCATCCTCACACCTGTCCTACAGCTGGACAGCAGGAGGAGCGGCGGCGACTCTGACTTGATCTGAAGTCTTCTTTACAGCAATCACCTGTTCACAGAGAGAGGCCATTGAGACTCAACACCTCCACGACAATGCTCCTCGACAAGATGACGACGCCCCGGTGAAGGAACTTGGGACCTGTTTAAACATTATGTTTTTGGAGGAAATTTTATTATATACCGTTTATATATAATTTCTATTGCAACTCAATTTAATTATTTCGTTGATCACTGACCACAAATTAAACCCGTATTCACGGCCGAGGCGTACACTGCACAAACTGCACACTTAACCGATAATGAAGCGACGACAAACATTCTGTTACAATATATTTTGTTCCGTATTCAGCTCGTTTAGAACGATGAAACAAAATTAAAAACAATTATAATCAAATAAATTTGATATATAATATGATATGATAGAGATAAATCTCTTTTCGTTTCTTCACTGAATTTTCCATTTTGCACTATAAAGAATTCAGAAATCAAATTAATTCTGCAATTCCTAAGGTTTCAGTGCCAGAAATAAAGTCACATTTGCTATACAAAACAGGAAACTTGACGAATAGCAGCGGGACGTGGGCTTCAGTTCATCGAGTTCATTTAGAGCGACATTCATCTTGTAGTCGGCTAGACTTTAATAACATCACCTGACTTTTGTACGCAAAATAAACGACTATTTGAAATATATATACAATATTGAATTCGTTGTCGTTTTCACAATACTCTTACTTTAGAAGACAGTAAGAGCACAAATGACCCGATGCGATTTTAAAACAAGCATACATGCAGAAAGGGGTTTATTAAATTTTTTATATTGTAATATAATAAAATATTACTGATATAAAACTAAACAATATTGTAATGCTGACCGTGCTATAAAATATAGAATTACAAGTTGTCACAATTTAAATAACATCCGAGACTAAAAGGTATCCTTTTGTAAAATATATTTTTTTAATGTTTTTTAAATCCGGATTACATGAAACAGATTCAAATTATATAATAAGAACCTTCGTTAATCCGCCGTTTACAGAATCCTCTGTTCTGATATCACGTATGACATACCAATCATAGTTGTTATACTGACATGCGGATCATCATTCTTATTTATGTTCGAGTTAATAACTTTAGAATTTAATGTAGAATATTTCTTTTATTTGGATCGCTAACAGATCAACCAGTTCACTTCTTTTATATTCGTTTTGAGACCAAACACAACGTGTGTCAAATTAATGAATGAATTTATTAATTTTAAAGATGGTTTTTTTTTGGTGGACAAAAGTAATCAACTTCAAGAAAAATAAATAGTTAGTTGTTAATGATTTGAACTATGAAAATTATTAGACTAAGTTAATACGAAAACGTAAATCTAGGAAGAATCTTTTATCTCATAGGAAATATGAAATGAGGTTATAAATAAATAGTAAAAGAAAAGAATATTGACATTAGAATTATGTATTTAATAATGTTCTATCATTACGAGTATGTATAAGATACACTTTACCAAAAACAACAGGAAACTTGAAAGTTAACGTACATACATAGACTCCAACTTATGAGGATATGCAATGTTACTACGAATTTATACTTGAGGAACTTACTGTGCTGCATTGTAATATGTGTGTGTGTGTGTGTGTGTTCCCAAATAAGTTATCACTCATATAAAGACAAGCAACAGTTTTGTTTTGTGAAACTCAATTTTAGTTTTAATATTTTATATATTCAGTTATACAATATTGACAGACTAGAACTGATGAATTGAATTCGTTTTTTCTTTTTTCTCTGAACCCTAAATAACTGTAGTATATAAGGAATATATTCCGGTTTCGGCAACAAACACTCCATCATAGATCTTTGTTAATTAGCTTAAATGAAACCTGACGTGGCACAAACTTTCCGATTGGAATGAATGAAGAATTGAATTTCGACTCAAAGTCAATTGACTAAGTTAGCAGAGTGGGTCTTTTACCGCAAAAGTTAAATGAAAAGTGAAGGCTGAAGAGTTCTAGTTTAAATTTGAAGCCATTAGTGCTTTGTAAATATGAACAGAAGTCATCGACAACTTTATATTACGAGTGTTTAAAATGATGAAAATATGTTGAGAGGCTTTCGCTGTTCTGTTGATCAGGGTCTAGTTTGTGTTGTTCATGTTACGACACTCGGCTTGATGTGACTCAGGGACCAAACGTGCGTTTGAATGATACACTGTGATACTAGGGGACCACAAGTGT